CTGGAAAGGTAGGTTGGGGCCAGGTTGCGAAAGTCTTTGAATTCCTGATAGAGGACTTTATATTTGTTCCTGTTGTTATTGTTTGTCCTTCCTTCTAGAAGAGGACCGTGACATCAGGGAGGTGATGCCATGACTTGCAAGTGGATTGGATTTAAGTGAGGGAGGACTGTGCAAAGTCACCAGCCTCACTTTCTCCTCCCGAGCCATCTGGGTCCAGTAGCCAGATAGAGATCAGGACTACTGGAGATCACCCTGGATGCAGTGGGAGACCTTGGGCTTTTTAAGCTAAGGTCTTTAGTGGGTCTCAGTTTGATTGAGGCAATGCCTTTTCAGTGATTTAAGGCTACATAAGAAATGAGGAATGGCCTTTTTTAATTTAGTAAACAAAAAAAAAATCAATCTGTGAGAGGAAGACCCTCATGATTTCTGACCAAAATAGAAACAATTGCTATTTACATTCACTCTGAGCCAATCTAGGCCAAACAATGACCAGGTGAGGTTTGGTCTGGGACCTATTGTTGTCAATGGATGAGAGCCAGAGTGATTTGGGGTTAAGGCGTGGTCCTTAAGAAAGAAATCTAGCCCATAAACCTCGAGATATCTTATGAGGTTTTAGGCATCAAAATTTACATTCCTCTGGGGAGAGCACCCACTGGTACAGGCATGATACCCTATGTGGACACATGGAAGGGAAAGAAAGAAAGGAAGGAACAAAATGAAACACAACTAACTGTGTTGCCCAGCTGGCCAGTTCCAGTAATCACAGAGGTGGTTGTTATTTGTCAAACATAGTTGTTCATAGAGTTAAGAGAGAGCCTATGGAGTTCATTGAATGGGGGAATGACATGGTCAGACCTTCCCTTGAGGCAACTGTGGGGCAGATGAATTATAATGAGGTAATACTTGAGGCTGGGGGCCTATTAGGATGAGATTAAGTCTAGGCCAGAAGTAATGAGGCCCTGAAGGGCTATGTTGGTGGAAAGAAGGAGTTGGATATGATATATATTGTGAAGGTAGAAACAATCATCTTTGGCAATAGATTGGATATGTAGAGTGAGGAGAAATCCACAATAGGAGAAGGTTGGAGATAACTTTTAAGTTACTATTTCTGTTGATACTACCACCATCTTGCTAGTCTTCACTTAGAATTTTATTTATCTCTTCTGTCTCCTTTATTTCACAAATTTCAGTTGCTTCATCTTGTCCATTTTATCTTCATAATATATCTTGCATTTGCTTACTTCTCTCCAATGCAGCTAACCTAGTGCAAGTATTAGTCATTTCATGCCTAAACTAGAGTAGTATTCTCCTGGCTAGTGTTCTTCTCTCCAGTTTTCCATATCTTCAGTTCATCCTTCACACCATTGTCTGAGTCATCTCACAGTAATGCACAAATTTGATGATATAATTTCTATACTTGGAAATCTTCAGCAACTCCATTTTGTTAATTCTTTATCTTGGCATTTAACACCTTTATTAGCCTGTTTTATTTGCACTCATCCTCTTCTCTGTCCTTAGCCACATTATGGATTAGTCATTGTTTCCCTGTATCCCAGTGCTATTTCACCGTATCTTTGCTCGTATCATACTGACAAAGTCTTCTTCCCCTATTTTCTTCTCAATGAAATCTTTCCATTTGCTTATCTCTTATCTTCTAACTCCCTAGCCATAGAGTTGTTGAAGATCAAATGAAATAATGGCTTTTAGAAAGATAACGTATAAGTCTTATAATTAAGGTGGTACTTTATGCAGATAATGATAATATGGTAATTGTTTTTCTTCAATACTTAAATTCAGTAATCTGTGATCTTACCCATAGTGGTATTTTCTCGACTGATAATACAGCAACTATTTTTTTTTCTATAACAATCTTTTTAAAGCTTTTCCAAGTTTAGGTAGGCTGGTTCTTGAACAACAGAGATATGGTTTGTCAGTGGAAAAGTTGGCATCAGATTTTGGAGGTCCTTAAATGCTAGACTAAGGAGTTCATGTTTTCTCCTAGAAGAATTAGAAAACCTTTGAAGGTTTTTGAACAGTGAGACCTCAAAAGGGGAATGTCATGGCCAGAGTATCACTTCTTGACCACCATCTTCCTCCCAGATCCTAACAGAGACAACCCAGAACCTAGAAATGAAGATACTTGGAAATAACTATCCTTCCAGCTCAGAGCCCACAACCATCATCCTCAGAAGTAGCACTTGGGGAGATGCAGCCTAGAAATTGTTCCTGCAGATACTTTAGCCACCCCTACTGAAGACTCAGAAAAGAAAGTTCTCCCCACCAAAGTCCTTGGCAGTGTCAGGGTTCAACATCAGAAGCTGACATGATTTTATCAATGGAAATGGCAGTAAAGAAATGGCCTTACTATCTGCTATCTAATTTGTTACTGAAACCTTCCATATGTTGTGTCTCTCTCATTAGAAAGTGAACTAAATGAAAGCAGGGGTTGTATTACTTTACTATTTGTATTATAGTACTTTGCAGATAATAAGTGCTCAGGAAAGGGTTTATTCATTCATGCATTTGGTAATACCTGCCAGAACTTTTACTCTTTTGGTATTGCCCAGGGGTCAATATGGCCAGGGCCTACCAGATGTTTTTGTTTTTGTTTTTGTTTCATAGGCTTGCTATCTAAGAGCGGTTTCTACATTTAAAAATAGAATTTGATTGTATTTGAAAATGTAAAAAACATTCTTAGCTCAAAGTATCAAAACAAGACAGGGAGGTATAGAATCAGACAGGCAGGGAGTGGGATATGGCCTTTGAGCCATAGATCGCCAACCTCTAGCTTTTGAAAACCTAGTTTTATCTCCTTCTCCCTCGTCTGATAATGATGGAGCTATGATCTCACTGATATGGGTGTACTCTCTGACTTTACAGGCCATATCTCATCTAAACATGTTAGCCATATATCATGGCTATACATGTTAGTCTATATCGTCATATAGGACTCCTGTTTATGTATTCCTTTATATCTTTTATAGGGCAAGGCCCATCAGTCTATTACGTCAACTCCTCATCTCATATATATATATATATACACACACACACACACATATATGCATATATATGTATATATGTGTGTGTATATATGTGTGTGTGTGTATATATATATATATATATATAAATTGATTATGTATCAGTTACACTGTATCATTGATGTCAAACAGAAATGGTAGCCATTGCTCTGTACATAATGATCTCTGCTGGCTGCATATGAACTTCATTTTAAAATGTAATGTTAACTAGGGGCAGCTAGGTGGCGCAGTGAATAGAGCTCTGGCCTTGGAATCAGGAGGACCAGAGTTCAAATCCAGCCTCAGACACTTAACACTTATTAGCTGTGTGACCCTGGGCAAGTCACTTAACCCCAATTGCTTCACCAAAAAGCAAAAAAAAAAAAAAAAGTAATGTTAACTACAGTTTATTATATTTTTATTTATTTTGTTAAATATTTTCCAGTTATATTTTAATCTGGTTCTGGGCATGAGGGAATATTGTTGGCAGCATGGTTGACCTCTCTGTGTTATATGACTGATTCATGTCCTTTTGAATTGTTGTTGATTTTTTTGAGGCTAGTGAATGTGTCTTATTTTTGTTTCTTCCTCTGAACTTAACATAGTGCTTTGCTTAGTATGTTGAATGTTGGATAAATAAATGAATGAATCTCAAGTGTAATAGATATGATATCATACATACTCTGTGGTTATTCTTTACTACTTTGGTGAGATGGTCCTTGGTCATTACTGTGTCCCAGATAACTTTTAGAGCTCCTTAGGAATTGTTTGCAACTGGGCTGACTTTAACGGATAAGCAGTTATCTTACCAGGTTTGAGCAAACAGTTGGGGAGAGTAATGTCCAGAGTTTTATTCCCAATGTGTTCCTAGATGGCAAGTTGTTGTTCCATCTCCTAAAGAGATGTGAAGAACAAATGAGGCAGATTTAAAATGTGGCACACATTTCACCATGTAAAATGAGGGCATTGGGCATTGGACTAGACTATCTTTAAAAAGTTGTTCCTATTGTTAAATTCTATGAAGTCTAAGGGTACCTTTTCACTTGGTATTTTAAAAGTAAAATTGTTAGAAATATGTATATATCATCTTTTAAAGTTCATTAGGAGTAGCAAATAGCTAAATGATTTGTTCAAGGCCACTTAGATAGCCGGTAGCAGAATCAAGATGAGAACTCAAGTTTTCCATGTAAACAGTTTAGTGCTCAGCCCATTAAGTCCTTTTTCCTCACCAGGACACAGAGATGTTCATATCTTTGAGCTGAAAGAATGCCAAAGTCAATAAGATGACCCACGGGGTTTAGAACAAACATTTCTGCATTTAACTTAGGAAATAGTTTGTTGTTAAAAAAGAAGATCTGTTGTTCATTGATTTTTTTTCCCCCTACTCAACTTCCTCTTCCTGTAAAATGCTATAGACTATTTTGATCAACACCATGTGATTCTTTTTCCTTCTTCCACACTGCAGAAAAAATGTGATGTAGAGTTTGTAAATTCTGTATTGCTTTTTCTCTTTTTGAGATGGAACCCCTGAAAGAGGAAGGCAAACATTTCTATTGAAATCAACTTTTAAAACTTACTTAGGGAATAGTGGGGCAAAAGGAAATCCTTTATTATATTGAAACTCTATGTCCTACACATAGTTTTGTTTACAAACACAGAGAGCCAGATTGTTTTGATTTTCAATCATTCACAGAGAATACCCACATTAAAGGCCACAGTTCCTGGGTCCAGTTACTTACAGGCTTAAGACTGATCCCTGAAGGAGAGGTGAATATAATTCTGTGAGATATCCTAGTAAAATTGGTCTCCATAAATGATTAACTTTCTAGCCATCACACTGTTCATTAGACTTGGATCATTATGCTTCATGAGCTTTGCTAATAGGACAATTTAAATCACCGCAGGATAGAGATAATCTTGTTTGGTACACTTAACCAGAGGTGCAAGTTCTCATCCTTTCTCTCTTCTTTTTTTCTTTTCCAGATGAGCACAATGATGTTCAGAAGAAAACCTTTACCAAATGGATAAATTCTCGATTTTCAAAGGTAACAATCACTTTTGAGAAATTCCATGGTGGCAGGAAGGGGCAGTATGAAACATGAAATTATGTCACACCAAAGCACTTTATAAACATGCTTTATTTAGTGGAATAAGTCATCGTAGTAGAATGTATATGTGCAGCCCATCAGGAAATGTTAAAGATGTAGTTTAGGCAAAAGTTGGCAGTTTATAGTCTTTGTTTATATCCTCCAAAAGAGAAATGCTAAATGGAATTCAAGAGCTGTCCATTGGCATGATTTTATTTATTTCAGTGTTGTCTGCATATCTGAATGTAATCAGCTAATTGTTTTTTGCTCTTTTTGACTCTGAATCCTCAGGGTATTTATTAAACATCCTGCAATTGGAAAACTACTGTTGGAGTGCTTAGCTAGAATAGTATTGTTTCAGCTTTGTCCATTTAAAACGATAGAACCATCATGAGGGTGCTATTTCTGTCCTGTCCAGCCATAATTAATGGATTTGATTCTAGATCTGGGTATAAGGAAAATGGTTAATGTGCTGTGTGGCTTTTTTCTTTGTATTTTTTCCCTTCAGTTCTGGCATTTTCTAGTACCTCTCATTGCCCACAACATTCATTACAATCCAATAAACGTTTATTAAGCACTTACTATGTGCCAGGCACTATGCTAAGTGCTGAAGAGACAGTTAATATAAAAGAAAGACAGGCCCTGCTTTTAAATACCTTTCACTGTGATTGGGAGAGACAACACACAAAAGGAGACAGGAAAAGGGGATAGGGGACATTTAGAGGTATTCGATGTGGGGGCATCCTGTTGTGTAGAACTAAAACCAAGGCAAAGCAGCTGATGCAGAGTGGAGTGACCCCAGAAGTCCAGTTTCTGTCCTCTATGAAGGAAGGCATGGGGAGGAGTTTGGTGCTCTACCCTCCTATCAGAGAGGAGAGTATGCAATGAGTCTTTTAGTCAGGGTTTTTTGATTTGTTTTTATAAAATGATAGCAGACTTAAAAATGGGTTTAAAAAAAAAACCTGTTCAAAAACTATCCTAATTCTACTTTTTGCTGGGACTAGAGTTTTGTTCCATCAACACTCTCTTCATTGATTATCTAAAGAATACAGAATACCAAATCGCAAAATTTAGCTTTCAATTCAATTCAACAAAGATTTATTAATTGCTGCTACGTGTCAGCCACTGTGCTGGGTGATAGAGATGTAAAGCCAAAACCAAAAAACCTCTGTCTCCAGGTGCTTACATTCTTTTGGGGGGATGGGTGGGAGAACAAGATGTAAGTATAAAATTAAATATATGTACAAGGTGATGTAAAAATATCAGGGATTTTTTTGATAAGTACTGCTGCCAATCATAATTGTCAACTTCAGAGACTTTTTATTACTGGTTTAATATATGTTTGGAGTACAGACCCATGGTACATAAAAAACAATGGACTACTAATAGCCTTTTCAAACATCTTAGATAGGACAAGAGCAGGTGAATACAATTGGAATTTTTACTGTAGGCCAAGGGGAAAGTAAAGATTTACACATCAAAGATAGCAGAAGGGGAAGATCTACATATCAGTAAATACTTTGACCTGGAATTTTGCAAACAGACAGCTAGAACTGACCAGATAACAACATATCTGAAGTTAGATGTGTCAGGTAAATTCAAAAAGCTTCAGCCAGTTTTTTGAAGTGCTCTCTCAGGCAAAATAGTGGCTATACTAAAATTCTGTTATGACAAAGGTAATTGCAGGGAGATGGGGTTGGCCAGAGGACATAGATCTAAATATGAAGGGCAGTTGTTAACAAGAGAATGGGAATTTTAGAGGGCATCATGGAAGGGGAATAGAAATATTGGAAGGCTAGGAATGACAATAATGAGTATGAAGGGAGTAGGGAGAGGTGGCTTAGATAAGTTCTTTTAGTCTGGCAGCTTAAATTTCAGAATCGTTGCAGTTCTTAATGGGGCCCTAGGATAGTTACATCATCTTGTCCTTCACTGCAGCAAATTTAATATTGATTTGCTCATCATTCCTTGATCAAAAGGGGAAAGTGGGGTGGGTATGTACTGGGCTGCAGTTGCACAGTTCCAGTACCTGCTTGGTGGTGAAGGCTGGGATCTGTAGAGTCCTGAGGCCTGCCATTGGGCTGACCCTGCTGTAGGGCTGACTCCAGTGTCAAGCAGATTTTCTCCCCAATATGGGGGAGTTAGGGTTTCTTGGAGATCTTGAAAAACTCTTACAAAAAGAAAGTGTGGTGGTCTGCATAAATAGTGAGGGAATAATTGAAATGGAAAGTTGCCTTTCTGGCCTCTATTTAAGAAGGTAAGAGGTAGAGTGATTTGTATCCTGAGGTAGTGGATAGAAAATTTGGCTTCTGAGGCAGCAAGATCTCTTATTAGGTTCTGACTTTGACCTGTACTGGCATTGTGACCTTGGATAAGTTGTTTGACTTCAGTGCCCCAGGTAACTCCCTAAGACTACAACAGTTGCCTAACTGCTTTGGAAGAGGGAGTTTCCTCAGTGGGAGCTTCCCATATTCAGAAAATCACTCATCCCATTGCCCCTCCCCACCTTTCCACCCCCATAAAAAAAGATAGGATAATGAATTAAAGAAAGTTATCATAGTGTCTTCTTAGTACTTTTAGGAAAAATTGGTCTATATTAGAATTTTCTTTATAATAGTTGAGTACAATATTTGGAATTGATTCATGATCAGTGTAGTTCAGAGCTAATGTGTGGGTTTTAACAAATTTAGTAGGATATAGGTGTTTCTGTCTTATCTTTAGTGTAGAGGAATGTGAAAACAAGCTTTGACCAAAGGATTGAGAATGTAGGTGTTGGCTGTTGATAAAAGGATTATGGCAAGGAAAAGTTAATTTTTATGGGAGTTCTTTTGTGTTAGATCCTCTAGGTCTAGCTATAGCTATTGTTTTTTTTACTTACTCATGAAAAAAAAAAAAGTAAAAAATGTAGCTGTCCATACGCACAGGAGATTGGCTCAGGTAGGATTGCTCCTCTGTTTGGAAGAAGTTAGGTAAAGAGTTTGTTTTTTAAGGGACTTAATTTAATCATTGAAAAGAACTTCCCTAGTTTCGAAGATAAATCTGAAAGAAGAGACCTTTGTTACATAGCAGATATTTTGAGAATTAGGTAAAATGTCATATCTTGAATTGGCTATCTTGTAGCCATCTTAAACTCAATATGTCCCAAACTGAACTAATCATCTTTCCCTGCAAATCTTCCTCCTTCCAAAATTCCCCATTATTGTTAAGGGTACCACCATCCTCCCAGTCCCAGTTCCCCGATTTCTGAGGTCCTGTTGTGTGTAGGTTGTCTTTCCTGTTAGCTGAGAGCTTCTTGAAGGGAGGAACTATCTCTTGCCTTCCTTTGTAACCCCAGAGCTTAGCACAGTGTTTTGCATATAGGAATCACTTAATAAATGTTTATTGACTGAATTATCACAGAATCTATGAGGTGGAAAGTCTCATGAGGGCCATCTAGTCCAACTAGAACCTGACCAATAATTTCCTTCGGCAACATCCCCAGTAAGTGATCATTCTAGCCTTGGGTTGAAAATTCCAAGGGGAGAAACAGTGCAGACTGGATCCCCTGCCTCCAAGAGCATCTTATCCCACTTATTTCAACTCTAATTGTTAGGAAGTTTTATCTTCCATTATGCCCAATTCTACTTTTTTGTTAAATTATACTCCTTGGTCCCAATTCTGGTCTCTTGGGCAAAGAATAACAAGTCTTATGTCTTCTTATGTCTTTTCATAGATCTGGAAACCATTTATTTTATGTCTTAAATCCTTTTTGTTCCCTAGTATAAACTTTTCCCATTCCTTCAACCTACTACCCCATTTTCTAGTCCTTGCACCAGAGCCATAACTAGGACAGGACAACTGGGGCTTTGCCCAGGGCAGGAAATTTAGAGGTTGTAAACGGCACTGTACTGTCCCGTGGGATGTGCTTCCTTGTTAGCTTGCCACTGTCTTATGATGCTTGATGATTCTTATTTTCAGGGCACTTGTAGTTAAGAAAGCTTATGATGTCTGGGGGTATGAGGATGATTTCAACCCATTCCCCAAGAGCAGAAATTGACTGTTATGGCTTTATTTCACTCATCATCTTGATCTGGGAAGTCACTGCTTTTTTGAGTCTCCTTTAGCATATCTGCACCACTATTCCAAAAACTTGATGCTCATAACTGAATACAATATTCTAGGCATTATTAGAGCAAATTATAACAGAAATATTATTTCCCTTGTTCTGGGTATTATTCCTCCTAACACAATTTAGGATAGTATTAGCTTTTAAGAAATAGATATGGAAAATTAAAGAAAGGGAACATGTATGGTACAAAAGGAAGGAGAAAGTATAATGTAAGAAAATATAAAGCAAAATATAATATAACATAAAAGAGATGAGTATGAATTAGAAATTTTAAAATTGTATTACAGAGAGATGAAGCATTTATTATGTGCTAGGCGCTGTGCTGTATTATGGTGTATATTATACCACTAACACTGTGATTCTTTTCTGTTAGGTAAAGAACATTATCCCAACTGTTAGATTACTTTTTCCCTTAAGTACTTTTATTTTCTCCTAGCAAGGAAAAGAAATTCCAGAGCATTTTGTTAATGGGTTTCAGTGCTGAGTTTGTAAACTGTGAGAAATGAAATATTTTAAAAGTCTTATTTCACCTTTAATTCTTTTCCTTCTAACAGAGCCCAGAGCCTGTTGACCATATGGGCAGCATGCCTGAGTCTTGGCATGGCATTTTCCTTTAGGTTTGGTTAGTCACTATCAAGTCATTTCTTTAAAACAAAACAAAAATACAATCCCCAAACACCCAAAAGCCAAGCAAACAAAATGCCATCCAAAAGTACAAAAAAAATTCACTTAAATACTGAAATGAGTAGAGATAACCTATTTACAAAAGGAAGAAGACATTACTTCATGAACCATGTGAAATTCTTTGCTTCAAAAGAATGAAAATTCATAGAAAAAGACTAGAGAAAGG